GTCATTAAGGATAAAAAATGGGGTCTATTCCTACATGAATAGATCGTGTCTACATCATGTCATCGTTCTTATTACATTACTCTATTTCTTCATGAACTTAATACACTAGATACATGGTAGATAGCGGTCGATGTGTGGAGTAATAGTAGTATATGCAGGCAAGAGTCGGTCTACTAATCTTGGATGTGGTGCCTATATACATGATCATTGCCTTGGATATAGTCATAATTATTTGCTCTTCTATCAATTTTCCAACAGTAATTTGTTTACCCACTGTATGCTATTTTCTCGAGAGAAGCCTCTAGTGAAATCTACAGCCCCCGAGTCTATTTTCTATCATATTGTTTTCAGATCTATTAATCCAAAAATCCAAAAATGCATGGCTGCACTTTTTCTTTACCTATTTTATTTTGTGTTTTCGCTAGATCTATTTATTCGATCTCATAGAATTTAATCTATCTCAATAGCGAGGAGGGATAGACAACCCCTCTTACTCGTTGGGTTGCAAGTTTTTGTTATTTTTGTGAAGGTATTGCTTACATAGTTTGGTGGATCCTCCTACTGGATTGATACCTTGGTTTCATAACTGAGGAAAATACTTACTGTTGCTGTGCTGCATCATCCTCTCCGCTTCAGGGAAATACCAATGTAGATACAAGCAAGAGGGTAGCAAGGCGAAGCGAAGACGTAGAATTCAATTCATTGTTCTTCTTCTCTTTCTTGAGTCTTAGGACCTCCATACTATTAAGAGGGGTATAGGTTCTCGGGGCTTAGATCCACCGTGATGCTTAGCCCGGAACCTATGCAAGACTGAGAGGTGATTAGGGAGGTGTCCTATCATGAATAATACAATGTTCCTCACAAAATTCATCAAATACTTTGGGAAAATATTCTCCACCATGATCCGACCTAAGACGCTTGATCTTTCTCTCTAGTTGTTTTTCAACTTCCGCTTTATAGATTTTAAAGTACTCTAAAGCTTCATCTCTAGTTTGCAACAAATAAACATAGCAAAATCTAGTCCCATCATTAATCAACATCATGAAATATCTCTTTCCACCTTTTGTCAACACACTATTCTTCTAACATAGATCAGAATGTATGAGTTCTAGAGGTGCCAAGTTTCTCTCCTCGGCAACCGTGTGAGGCTTTAGCGGTTGCTTCTATTGCACACAACTATGACACTTATAACCTTTGGCAACAATGAAATTCAGAACTAAATTCATACTGCATAGTCGGGGCATTAAACCAAAATTAATATGACATAAACGAGAGTGCCGAACACTTGCATCATCATTAACACTAGCACAAATTTGGTTTACTGACTTATTGCAAAAATCTGGAAGGGAAAAACGGAACATGACTCTGCACTCATAGCCTTTATCTATAAACTGTCCAAATCTTGACACGGTTACTTTATTTGACTCTAAAACTACCCTAAACCCATCTCGACATAGACGGGAGCCGCTAACTAGATTCTTGTTCATAGTAGGGACATGTTGAATGTTCCTTAGCTGTGCGATCTTCCCCGAAGTAAACTTCTGATCCACCGTGTCAATGCCACAAACAAAAGCATGCGACCCATTCCCCGTTAGGACGGAAGAATCCCTTGAGAGCTGGTAAGAAGTGAACAAAGAGACATCAGCACACACGTGAACGTTAGCACCCGAATCAATCCACCAAGAAGATGATTGAAATAGTGAAAGAACAATAGGTAAATTACCATACCCATCAGTATTGCTAGCGGTCACCATGTTGTCAGTCTTGGAGCTCGTTTTCCCTTTGCGGTCTGCACAGTCTAGGCATTCCTTGGAAAAGTGTCTGGGCTTCCCATAGGCGTAGCACTCTAACTCAACCTTGTTGAACTTCTTCTTGACGGTAGTAGTCTTGACAGGCTTGTCGAAAATAGGCTTGTTCTTCCCTTTGTTCTTGTTCCCTAGGTCAGTAGGTTGAACCTCACCTCTTTTCTCAATAGTGTCTTTAGCCCGAGCTTTCTCTTCAACATCAAGAGATGCAATCAGATTTTCAACTAATATCTCATGTCTCTTATGTTTCAGAGTACTCGCGAAGTTCTGCATGAAGGAGGTAACTTTGCAATCATGCACCCAACCATGAATTTATCGGGTAAATCACACTTAAGGAGTTCCAATTCCTACATAATGCATTGTATCTCATGAGCTTGTTCAACCACATAACGGCTATTCACCATCTTGTAGTTGTGGAAATTCTCCATGATGTACAGTTCACTGCCTGCATCGGTTGCACTGAGTTTAGCATGTAGTGCATCTCACAGTGTCTTTCTATCTTGTATGTGCATGTACACATCACACAGACGGTCAGCAAGAACACTCAAAATGCATCCCACAAACATAGTATTGGCTTCCTAGAACTTTCTCTAATCTTCATCAGACATTCCCTCTGGAGCACCAACACTAACGTGAAAAACTTTCAGAGTAGTAAGCCAGAGCGTGGACTTCGCCTGCCACCTCTTAACATGCACACCGGTAAACATATGGCCTCGGTGCATTAGTGAATCTAGCCATAGTTAACTTAGGAAATTGCCTACAATTGAGTAGCACCACCCGACTTGGATGGAAGACAACCTCTGACTCCAAAAAGCTAGTTTGTCCTCTCCCAGTGCAGGATCGCAAGGACGACTGGTTCCGGAGACCTGCTCTCCGATACGTAGATGCACGCCGACGTTCGGGATGAAGCACGTATGCACCGCCCGCCCCGGCCAGGCGAGCAATCAAGCGTGTGTGATCTTCCCTTTCTCTTCTCAACACACTATTTAGAGCGGTGGAGAGAACCCACTATATAACTCTTCCTCAACTAGCGATATGGGACTTAACTTTAGCACCACCACTTGCCATTTTATTCATGGGCCACCATTTTCTTAGAAAAGGAGGATTACCCTCGGCTTCTGCATCTGGGCGATGCATGTAGCCATTTTATTAATTATTCACAAGGACCTTACAAAGTAGTACATCAGGTAGTCTGAAGCCACCATCTTAGCAACAACTATTGCTACTCCTATCCACTTGATGAAGGGGTGTCGATAGTTCGAGCCTAATACCAAACAAACATCGCATCAAAGCCTAACATCTAAAGCAGGAGGCCCCAACCAATCCACATACTGGGTTTGGGGTACAAACCGGTCTGATACACTCTCGTGTGTCGTCGCCGCCGTCTTCTACCATTCCATCTTCGGAGCAGAAACTAGCGCACCAACCTTGCCAGGCCTCTTTGTCATTGATGTCACCATGACGCCAGATAGCGTCCTCCTCCTGCACGAGTCCATCTCCGCGCATCGAACGCTGAGTCTCCACTGCGTCACGCTGCCGAGATCCGCCGCCATCAATGTGTAAGATGGAGCACCACTCCACCAAAGAAGTTGTCCACTGGTCCCTCGATCCCGTGTACACCTTCAAGAATGACGCCCCCAAGGGAGAAACGACACCAGAGCGCCGCCATCATCCGATCTACTGATCTAGGGTTTCCCTCAGAGGTAGCGAATAGAGGTCCGAAACTTCTCCATGGCGATGCCTTCAAGAAGGTAACGACACGAAAGAGTGCCAGCATCGCTGGTCTTGGCAACAAGCCGAGAATGAGATTTTTCACCCGGATCCGCTCGACAAACCTCCATCAAGCATCATGTGCACGGCTCGCCACCGATCTGAGCCGCCGCGTAGCGAGCGGGCCGCACCGGTCAGATCAGATATGTCTGAAGGCCAGACCACTCATTGCGCCGACCCGTCCACCAGGCCCTCCATGCCGCTGTCGGCGATCCAAGGTCAGATTGCCCGTCGCCGCAGATCCGGTCGCCGCCACCGAACACAGCCAACGCCGCTGCCCGCAGCAAGGACGGTCGTCGCACTCGCAGTCATCGCCACCCGAGGAAGGGCCGGCCGCCGCGCCGCCGCCGGTCAAGGCAGGGACGCCCGCTGCGTCGCCAAGGCCAGATCGGCTGCGCCCCTTCACACCGTGGGGCTCCGCACCATCCCCATGGTGTAGGAGAGGGGGAGGCCCCCGCCACCGCCGCCGGTCCCTGGGCTATAGGCCGGCAACGTCCTTTGGTGGCAGCAGAGGGAGGGAAAGAAGGAGAGCCCCTGATGGCTAGGGTTTCGTCCCCACCCGAGCAGGTAGGTGACACGGGGGGTCATGGGCCACCATTTGAGATTTCAGAAATTGTTATGGCCCTAGCCCATTTATTTCTAACGAGACCGAAGGATCTCTTGCATGGGCGAGATATAGCCTCGGCGTCCATATCCATCGCCGCAGATGGACGACCCCAACCGTGGGCATGTCCCAACCCCTCTCGTGCAATCTGCATTACTTCTTGTCACGGCGAAGCAAGGCCCCAGTGCATAGCACGAGCCTTCCTGTAACCCCGTTGCTATGATTCAGACCCATCGTCGGTTGCTGGAGTTGAGTTCTGCAACAGCATTTTTCTTCAACTTGAAATCCCAGCAATTTTGGTGCACATGAACTTCAGATGATTTTTGCTCAAACTGAAGTGGGTGACCAAGTTGTGACTCACCCAGCCCAACAAATACTGAAAGAAAAGGTGCAAGACCCAAGTACGGAATGAAGCATGAAAGATGAACAGGGAACAAGGAGTAAAACATCATTTCACAGAGTCTCAAGTGAGAACAAACAATCAGGTTGCGTGACACACCCAACAACCTTGACCCTTTTTAACCCAACTTAGCACGGCCACGAACAACAGGTCCTTCCCCTCCACAACAGCAACAGCACCAGCAATGTGTGTGTATCTTGTACATCATATAGAAACATCCTTTGTTGGGTAAAACAAGACAAAGTGACGCTATTGCCCTAGCGACAGAGGGACTGGACCGACTCTTGTGTAGTATCTAGCTTACAGTTACAATATCACCTCACAACAATACACGACACATCTTGGGTGCTGGATGTTCCTCTTCTGTCCAGTCGTTTCTCTTGGCGGGCACACAAATTATTGTCGACGGTACACTTGACATTCATAGTATAGTACAAGAGCAGCGAGTGGTCTTAGGCAACTTGTTCGTCTTCTTGTCTGACACAAACAAGTTAATATAATTCAGCAAAATGAACGAGACTGACATTCCTCTGAAATTTGAACTGTACGAGGCACACCGTACTGCCTCGTACTGTTCTTATTTCACAAGTTACTACCTAAGTACCCAACGGTCGAAATGCTAAAATAGAATATGTTCATCTAATTTCGGCAAGTGGTCTCCGTACTCAACCACCTTAGGTATACAGATCACAAATCATGGAAATGGAAATGGTCTGGTTACCATCAACTGAAAGGTGAAAGGCAACTAAAATGTAACGTTACAAGGGCCAGCCAACCATTATCTCAGCCAAGGGCATGATTTTGACACTGAATGGCATAGGGTTGACGAATTAGTTCAAATTATGACTAGCCCAATCCAGGTGTTCTTTTAGTGGTTATTGTCATAATGTTTTATTATACTCCCTCCATTCCATAATGTAGTGCGCCCGCACTTTTCGAGATTTAAGTTTGACCATAAATTTAACCAATGTGAGAGACTGCGGCGGGAGCAAAAATTATACCATTGAAATAAATTTAACCAACGTGGGCGACTGCGGCGGGAGCAAAAATTATACCATTGAAATAAGTTTAACAAACGTGGGCAACTGCGGCAGGAGCAAAAATTACACCATTGAAGGGAGTATAACATTGCATCCAACGGCGTCCTATCTAAGTGTGAAGAAGCAGAATCTTACGCGCTTTAATGAGACATACATTTCAATGTAATTTCCGCTAATTTCTGCTGTACTGTCAAGTGGTTATTAGAGGGGATTAGACAGAAACCAAATCTGTGATCTGGCATCGTTGGTAAAGACCAGAATTTTATCTACGAATTACGGGACAGACAACAGGCTCACCAAACTGACTTCCCATGGATAGAAGCGCAGAGCTCCATGACTTTCATGTCAACATTTTCATATTTCATCCACAATCATTTTCTCTTCAGAGAATCAAAAGAACATTATTTTTCCTCGTGCAGATTCCACACATATGATGGCACATTAGTGATAGAATGAATGGTAGAAAGGAAACAAATGACTGATATGCACCCATTTGAAATTTTAAGACACAACTTGCATGGTGAAACAATGTTAATCAGTCTAAGTAAGACACACACACGGGAAGATTCAACAAGTCATAAGCAATGCTTTACACAAATATTACAAAGTTGCAGCTTACCTGGTTTTGACTTCGCGGATGATGGCTGGACAACGACATGCATTGTTATAACAGTGCTGGGAAGATCACCAAAAGGTGCTCTGCACTGTGCAATATTCTTGTCATTTTCTAGAATTTTGCCTCCACTTATCAGTTTCACATCATTAGCACTCTTTGGGACAATTGTTTTATCTACAAGCAGAATCATTACAGAATTAGAAATATTACACAAGCAGCGGAGGAGATATAACTATACTTGAAAAAAAAACTCAGAAATGCAGTACGAAAGTACATATGCAGCAAACTACCTAAAACCTTGGCAAAAATGCTACCCATACATCTTAAAATGCAGGATTTTAGGAATTTTATTACATCAAATTGAACAAAAATATTAACAGCAGCTAAATACAATTAGAACAGTTATCTTTACTGAAGCAATCATGATAAAATAAGAAGACAAATCACGGCATGTGCCTTGTGTGCAGGTAAGATAGAAACATGTATTGGTAGAAATTAGAACAAAATAGGGAAGTCAAGGCGGGATAAATTTTAAGGCAATGCTATGCAGAAGCGGTAAAGCTGTTGCCTTGTGACCATGAGGTCACGGGTTCGAGTCCTGGAAACAGCCTCTTGCAGAAATGTAGGGAAAGGCTGCGTACAGAAGACCCAAAGTGGTCGGACCCTTCCCCGAACCCTGCACAAGCAGGAGCTACGTGCACCAGGCTGCCCAATGCTATGCAGAAGTTAAGTTCGGATCAACAAGAATGTTCCATAATATCAGATCCTAAGCAAAGTTCCTGTCCCATTTGACAATATTGCCTTTTGAGAGAAGTACAAGTTAGATGTCTTAAAATCATAACGATCATTAGATTCATTGATCCACAATAACAGGGAGTACAAGCACACAAAGACAGCAGAACTAAGTGATAAACAAATGGAAATATAAAAACAATATGGCAAATGTAAGGCATGTGCTATTTAACACAGCACAAATGTATGAACCAATTTTTCACTCCCTACCAACAAAATAGATATGACATTCTTTTTAATATCCCTGTGGATGGAAATAGAATGTGATTAACACATGGTGGCTGCTGACAATGAAATACACAATGAGCTTCTCCAGTGTTTGTGGCTCCTAGAGCATCTTCCTGTTGGGCTCTCTGTGGTCTACTTCACAGCCTTCATCTTTGGCTTGCTATAGAGGCATAGAGTAATAATTTGAGCATCACATACTCACTATTGAACAATTTAAAAGATATCCTAAAGTGGAGTGCTGCGGTGCCCATTCAAGGAATTCATGGAAATAGTTGCATATTTGTTGGAAATCAGAGACATCCTGCACATCATGGGTTGTCAGCGTCCCACTTATCAAAACGGGCTATGGTAAAGCACATTAACATGTCTGCCTACATTATAGCCCCTAACATGTCTGCCTACATTATAGCCCCAAGCACGGCTCCTCCGCTGTTCGCTTAGACACCAAAGACCATCCTGGATTATTACCGTAAAAGAAGACATCTCCTATACACATCTGATACCTCTCTAATTTAAGCCGTACTTTAGAATATTAACGAGACCTAGCACTTGCTAGTTATAGAAGCACACCTATTTTCCCAAAATCAGACAAGCAACAAATCTTGCAGGCACCAAACAAGCAAATATAAAGAAGCATGAAGCTTGCTCATCACCCCTTATTCCAGTCTACTGTCGTCACGCAGAGGGAACAGACAAGCCTGGGTTCCTTTACAAATTTACTGGTGCAGATGGCACAGGCACAAACTAGAGCTTGCACAGAGACACCACACCACAAGAATCGCACCACATCGTGCGAGAATCAAGAGCTCAAGAGATTGAATCTTTAGGACCTTTGGGCCAGTCGGCAACGACACGGTCCTTGAGTGCGGCGACGGTGGTAGCAGCAGCGTTGCAGCGGATGGGGCCGATGTCAGAGCCGTCGAAGAGCCGGAACTTCACCTCTACCTCCTCCTCCTCCGCTCCCGCCCCTGCATCCGCTCTCTCTTCCTCTCTCGTTCCCTCCACCTTGGTCTCCTCCCCCTCGGCCATTTCTTGGCCTCCCACCAAGACCTCGAATACTCGCGGGACCCCGCGGGGAATCTGAGCTGGGCTCGGCTGCTCCAAGCAAGAACTTGCGAGCTCGGTGGGGGTAGAGACGGGAGGGATTCGGAGCTTGGTTTAGGGTTTGGTGGGAGGCAACGAGGGTAGGAGAGGAGGAGCAGGAGAGAAGAGGAGACGCTTTGCAACTGCAAAGGAAAGGTAGGAGAAAATTCTCTTCTCCTTTTCTCCCGTGAGATTGGTGGTTATTCCGGACTTGGTCTTTTTCTCCTGACTTTTTAATCTTTTTTACAATTTCCTGTATTTGTTATGACGTTTTTTTTCAGTATTGCTAAAGAATGCCATAAGGATTGCACATCTAAGTTAAAAACGTTTTACATTTTAGGACGAAGGGAATATGTCATTAATTTTACATAATTCTTTTCTCATATCTAGAACCATGCTTATTGTTACTTTGAGAAACAATATAACACCACCACACACCCACATATTGTCCACTTCGCTGAGTGCATATGACGTGCGTATACTTCTACATCATTATTTGACCTAAATATGTCAGCTTAATCAATTGTTGATTTGGAAGTATGCACACACATGACAGAAGAAAACATTGACGGAACCTAAACCGTCAGATTTTGATGTAGTGGGTCATAATTTAGATGTCTTGAAACGAGGATAACAGAGATACGGTGAATTTACTTAAGTTTAAGCTTTTCGAGGAAATAATAATCTACATCATGTTTGTGTTTACTACATTGGAATAAGTACAAAGTACAAGTATCTACCAAGTGATTTTTTAAGTTTTCTACAAGCCAGGGCCCTCAGTTTATACAGGTACGGGGGTTCTAGGGTATTAGGTATTAGTTGGCTACGTACAAGGAAGCAGAGTCCTTCACAGATCGTGTATGGAAAGTCTTATGGAACCTTCTCATTATATGCCATGGGCTGCCTGATGTGACCCATGTCTAAACCGACAAGGGAACCTCAGATCCCGTCCACCGAGTCAGGAGTCGACATGTTGAGAGGCCCCTTAGGGCATGTACAATGGTGCTATCATAAGAGTGCCACATAGGATAATGGCTGAGGTGGAAGAGAGATAAACCACATGAAAAGGTTTGCCTTTTCTTATTTAAGAGATTATCTCTTAGCAACAATTGTCTCGCCACGTATTTAGGGATATCTAGTTATTGAAGACAAGACTAGGAATAACCCATTGTGCATCACTTTTTATTGTCTTATCTAGATTAGGTCGCGGGACATAAGATAAGGCAGTCTTATTTAGGACAGTAAAATTGAGCCTCTTTCCGGCCTTTTCGCGCACTTAATGTATCTGACCGTTCGATTGAGTATCCACACATTTTTGGTCGTTGGATTTTTCTGTAATAGCTAGCTTCATGTGAGTGGGCCGACTGTCCTAAAAGGGCAACTACTCCGGTGGAAAAAACGAACTCTGTGGTTGATTGGCCCATTTGCACAAAGTAGACGTTTTGGCTAGCGTCGGCACAATGAAGTCCATCGATAAGGAAGATAAGGAAGAAAAAAAAAGGGGGCTAAGTCGTTCCTCTCGCGGCGGCGACGACTCAGTTCTTGCAGGCGTCAAAGGGGACTAGTGGATGACGCGCGCCTTGCTGCGCCTTTTTCATAGATGGAGTGTATTTTCCATGCTTGTGTTGTAGATATTTCTCACTGTTTGTTTGTTTGTTGGGATATTTGGCGTGTTTCTTCATTTTTCACTAAGCAACATACCGATATCTTGTCACCAAGGTCGGGAGCCCACCGAGCTTGCCGTCGCTGTTGTCGCGCGAGTCCCTGCCTCCTCCACTGTCGCTCTCCCAAAACTTACTGATGAACATGGCCAGGTCCATCTTGCTCTCGTGGTGTCTCACGAGCCCATCTCCGCCTTCACGTGTCCGCGGCCAATGCTCACCCACCGACGACCCCCCGCCCTCGCGTGGTGACACCCTCGTTGAAGAAGGGCCCTCCTTCGTTGAGCCCCACAGCGCCCGCCCTTGGCAGGGAACCGAACTCCTTGGCCACCAGAATCATGCCTTGAGTTCCTCCCGCCGAGGAATCAGGCCGTGCGGCAGCTCGAACAAATGATTCCCCGTCTAAACTCGAATGCGAACCGACCAAATCCAGTTGGGATGAGAAGGGAAGAGACCCTTGAATCCAAACCTCATGATGGTCGAGCATTTGAATTCGGAGTTGAGTAAAGGGATAATGGGGATATAGCTGCTCGACTAGCATCAACCTCCCTCAGAATCAAAGATTAGTAACAGAGGATTAGCAGTAGAGCAACGACAGTAATGTAGAGGATACTGGAGCAAGCGAGAGCGAGCGGCACCGGTGTAAATAAAGAAAGCAGAGGAGAGACCAACCTTGGATTTTGCTTTTGAGGCGGCGCGTGAGGAAACCAGGGAAGGACGTTGCCGCTTTGCGATTTGCCTCCTACTTCCTCCGGTCCTTTTTAGTCTGCATATAAGTTTTGTCTGAAGTTAAAGTATCTCTGCTTTGACCAAACTTATAGAAGAAAATATTAACATTCACAATACCAAATCAGTATGGTAAAATTAATTATGAAATGTAATTCCATAGTATATATATTTGGTACTGGAGATGTTGATATTTTCTAATATAGTTTTGGTCAAACTTTGTAGAATTTGACTTGATACAAATCTAATACGTAAAGTAAAAATGACCGGAGGAGTACACAGGTATTGGTGAATTTTTCTAAGAAGGAGTAGGCGGGTATTGGTGAATTTTTCTAAGAAGCGACACGAAGCAAATGTTTGACCAGCTCAGAACCAATTGACCATAGGGATCCACCTTGTAAAAAAACGCTCGAGCCTGGAGCAACATACCGATATATTGTCGGCGAGGTCGGGGAGCCCACCGAGCTTGCCATCACTACTGTGGCGCGAGTCCCTGCCTCCTCCACTGTCGCTCTCCAAAAACTTGCTGATGGACATGGCTCCCGTGTGAGGATATCATCTGCGACCTCGCCACGCGCCAATCCAACGCTCCCTTGCGCCAACTGCAATGACACCCACTGGTTTCGTGTTGCGCTCCGTCTCACAACTCGCCGGAGTCGCTATCCGCGACTTCCATACCCTCAGCCATCATCCTACATCTCCTCCAGGTCAGCGGTGCTTCAGCTTGCAGTTCTTGTCGTGCCCCATGCCCCCATGCGACCCGCCTCCTGATTCGAATTCAAGAATAACTGTAAGGTAGAATCTCTCCTCAATACCATTACAGTTCATGTATTCAGATTGAATCCTCTCAGCCGAACCTACACATGTGAATTGAAGTATTGTGAGATGTTCCAGATTTGTCTAGTTTGAAACTTTGAATCCTAACCGTGCAGAAGATTAATGAGACACTTTTTTAATATAAAATTAGCAGGACCCATGCAAAAATGTATAGTTGTAGTCGAGCATTAAGGTAAACATATACTGAACCTCTTCTATGGTCTGCAGATTCGGTTTGTGAGGTAGTGACAAAATATGTCTTTTAAACTTTACATCAATAATCGCAGAATACTACATGGATTTAAATTTTTTAGTCATGAAGGAGCCGACCCTTGATCGAATAGATGAATACATGAACTTATCAAGATGCTCATCTGAAGAATGTTCACAAATTATATGTTGCATGACATAGATAACTACATCAACCTTATTGGTTCTATGTAGTGTTTTTCAGTATGTTGCCTTTGCAATATGATAGTTTGCTTCTTCAGTTTGTGACCTTCACTATCATAATTATTATGTATAGGGTTCATGGAAGTTAAGATACCGGCATGTGTTTCCTTCTCAACAATGACCTTGCTAGGAGCATCATCACAACTGTCACCTACGGACTGACACCAGTAACCCATGGATCCACCATAATCTTTGTCTGCTCTATGGGCCACAAATGTTCTTCCTGGCTTAATTATGTGGTTTGTTCTGTAAGTTTTTTTTGTAGGTTCCATGATTGCCATAAGAAGAGTTTCAGTTTCGTCTCAATTCTTGGGACAGCTAGTAGAGATCTAACCCTTCTTCTTTTTTTTGAAAGACCTAGCTTTGAGGAGCTGGTGTTTTCGTGTTAATCATTGCAGGGGGAGTTGCGGGAAAAACAGGGGCATGGCACTGATCCACATATCAGAGATAGAGAAAAAACAAGGGAAAGAAAGGAAAAAGAAAAAAGACGAACGGCCTGACAGTCAGCCTATCCCTTCTGGAGGCAAGGAGAACTGGTGCATTAGGCAGGTTGCCCCAGCTTGTCGCCCTAGATCAATGCCTCTCCTGATTGCCTGTATGATCGCCGTCGCAGAGGGCTCCTTTTCTCTGAAAGTGCAGCTGTTGTGGTGCAACCAGATCTCCCAGAGCGTCAGCATCGCCAGCGATTTAATACCTTTTCTGAACTTTGGCCTTGAACGCTCCACAAACCCCAGCACCCGATCGGCTGCCGTTGCGTTGCCATCTTCAGGCTGCAGTCTCAGGGCCTCACAGCCGTGCCATGTCGACAGACTGTGCCAGAGCGAGGCAGTGAACGGGCATGTCCAGAAGACGTGCCCAGTAGTCTCGAGGTTGCGCATACAGAATTTGCAGAAGTATGAGTTTGGCCATCCTCGTCGTTGCAACCGGTCGTTACACCACAACCTGTTCAGCATCATCAACCAGCAGAACACCTTCAGCTTCTCGGGCGCCCATGTCTTACAGATGAGCTGTGGGAAGACCGAGCCATGGTTTGTCAGGAATTGCGCTCGATAAGCTGACGATGCCGTGTAGCAGCCACTGGCCTCTAGGTTCCATCTAATTTCATCCGCGCAGTCCAGGTTGAGAGAGATGGACGCAGTGCGCAGCAACCATGCCAAACTCACGCAGTCTTGCACCACCAGCTCGGTGCGTCCATGCGCTAGGTCCTGGATCCAGCGATCCTCATGCAGGGCATCGGCTACACACCTGTTCTTCCTCTTCGAATGCTGGTATAGGGCGGGAAACAGCACT